GCGGGGGGGGGGGGGCATGATGGTGGTGGGAGCGCAGCAGCAGCAAGCTGAGGAACTCCTGCAGATGCCGCCGGCACTGTCGGCAGGAAGGGGAAGGGGGTGACGAGCGCAGACCAAGGGTCGGTGACCACCCACAGACACCCTGGTACCAGCAGGGATTGCTGACTGCCCGCAGACACCAGCAGTGTCAGCAGCACCTTTTTGTAGGAGGTATACCGCTACACTCAGGGGATGCACATGCACCCCCTACACGTCACCCCTGGGGACTAGATTGCCTTATTCTGGTCTTATATAGAGCATGGAAAGCAGAGATAGAAAAACGCCTATGAGGCGGTCTGGTGCACAGTATGTAATGGGGTCTTCTGGGCCATATCCCCACCATAAAGATAATGAAGCGGGGAGGTCATTTTCCCCTCAGGAGCAGTACATGGCAGCAAATATGAGAATGGGATGAGCCCACTGCCTTCTTTTGATCCTCTCCACAGAATTTTTTACTTCACTGTTTGTGATTTGCTCTCTAAGCAATCCTCTTGGATCTCACTCCAGAGAGAGGAACTGGGTACCCTGTATCTCTCAGAGCCCTGTTCTCAGATAAGCATACAAATATGTTTCAAGAGATGTAGTACAGAGATGCCCATGCTAGCTTTAAAAGAGCCAGCCCAGATACCACTAGCAGTTTAACTGCAGTAGCACAGAGCTCGGCAAGGGCTAATTTGTCCTGCTGAGAAGCTGGATAAATTAGTCTGGCCAAGCTCTGCACAGTTATACTACATTACTGTGATTGCAGAAAGGCAGACATCACTGACTTTGTTACACTCCTTTCAAGTGCAAGGATTACAAATTTACTCCATTTTTAAATGATCAGACATGGTATCCAGGGCACCTGCCTATCCTGCTTTTGCCTTAATCCAGCCCTGAGGCCATTTGTTTTTGCTATTCATGCAGGGAGCTAGGAAGCAGCTGTTTGTCATAGCAAAAATGTATGCACACCCTTTTCATATTTACTTAGATTTTGCACTCCTTTGTTTTCCAAAATACCCTAATGATGAGGTCTAGAGTTTTGCCTGTGTTCCTGTGTACACAAAAACCCATAGGTATATGGCTCACACTGAGTGCTGTGGGATGAGCTCCTCCAGTTGGTTGTACGCCCAATTTAACATTAGTTACAGAATGAGCAGTCAATGCAGTTGTTCATGTAGGAATAATCCATGTATAAAATAAACTGGTTCCATGAAAGCTTCTTCTTGCATATATGTAATTTGAGATCATGTGATGACTTACCTGGGCCTTTTACAAAACTGTGATCATGCCTGATTATAACATTTCTCATTTGATACCTGATTCACCACCTCATGAAAAGAGAAATTGTAAAAAAAAAAAACTCTACTGTTCAAAATATGAACCTACACTACCTTACCTTGCAGTAGACTATTGGCAGTTGTAGGCACATCAGTAATACATAAATTAATTAAACAAGATGAATGATAAACATAATTAGTACATATGGATATCACAGAATGCAATCCATCATAAAAAAGAATGGATCTAAATAACAGGTCTAATTACTTAAAAGATACCTCAACTTTCCTTACATGTGGTCTTCTACTTCCTACTTTGTAGCATAGTTTTTTAATTATTCTAGCTTTCAACGTCAACATTGTAAAATATATATATG